TGTCTAAGCCGCCGCTTAAGCCGAGTTCAGCGGCCGTGCGCGCGCACTTTGGCGGCAGTGGAGTCGACGCGACTCCGAAAATAATTACCGAGCGCGCACGGCCGCCTCCCAATTGTCGTGCGAAAATCCGCACAAACCAGTTCAGCTACTCAAGTCGGACAACGCGCACGCGCCCCCCTTAATATCAGCAATTTTAAAACATCTTTTTAACTGTGTCATCCAAAATATACTTTGAATATATGAGCAAACTATTAAGCAAAATACATAAAAATTGAAAACCAACGTATTTCCTTAAAGCGGAAAGAAACTGTGTGTGTGCAAGGTGAGTGCGAAAGGCAACCATTGGAAATATTCATGGTCCTTCGCAGCCAACCGTGGCCCAGCTCCTAAAGAAAAAAAAAAAAAAAAGAGAAACATTTTAGAACTTAAAAATAAATTAATAAAACCTACAAAAAAAATCGGTTCTCGTACGTCCGCAAAAACAAACATATAAAAACAATTTTAAGAGTGGAAAAAAGATACAAACAAAAGTGCACGTATATACATACATATACATATACGCAACAAAAAAAAAACACAAGAAACGTGAAAAATAAAAATTGTTAAATTAACAAAACATATAAATTTTTTGAAAAAGAAGTGCGCAAACAAGCGTTCGAAGTGCTACACACAAGTGAACATATTCACAAAAGTGCAAACAATTTGAAAAAAAAACGTAATTTTGTTGCGCAAAATTTCAAAAATTTATATACACAACAACAACTAAAAGAAGAAGCAAAGCGCAATCAGCAGCCATCAACCAACCAAACCATCAGCCAACATTGGAGCGACATCACCAGCATCAACATAAGCGGTAACAACAACACCAGCACAAGAAGACCCCGGCGCAAAAAGGACTTACACACATTCATATACATAAATCAAGGAAAGTAGTAAGTAGGCAAATTTTTATTTTCCTTAAAAATTTAAATAATATAACTTTCATATTCTTGAAAGTTATATTATTTCTAATAAACTGCCAACGGGCATACATACGTATATGCATATATATATATATATATAATTAAATAAAAGGCGTATTTATTCTCGCCAAAAACGGTTTCACTAAAATTGCGGATATTTTCTTGCCGCCCAAAAATCTCACATCGGCAATTTGCCGCTATTGAATTTTGGTAGAAACATTCCGTTTTCCGGAAAGCGGTATATCTCCACTTACCGCCAATCTTATATATATATATAAGTATATGTACATATATACAAATTCTGATATATACCCCAAAATAAATTCCGTTGCAGTTTATATGCCTACTGTGTCCCACTGTGCAAGAACAAAATATTAGCACATTAAAATCACATACTTTCCTCTGCTTACCAATTTTTGCCGTTGGTCGCATAGTTCGTTGAACTTGGCTAAACAAATTGCCGAAAAACATAAGTGCACTATTTCCCATATATCATATGTACATACGTTAGCACATATAAACATTTTTACCAGTTGCATTTTCTGCAACTATTCGTATAATAGCTAAGAGAGTCGCTGCTATTTATCGAACAATACAGTCCACACGTACCAAGCGCACTCTAGCTTATTTTAATTTATTTCAATCTTGCTTTTCTCTGCTGCACTCACCAAGCTAAGAGAACGTAAATCAAAGCCCGCTCTCTCAGCGGTGAGCGGCTCTTTACGTATTATCATATCCACTTGTACATTCCCGCACACATACATACACACGCACTATAATCAAAACAAATTCTCTGTTGTTTTCGTTTCTTAACTCACCACTGCTGTGACAAAGCATAGCTTAGCCATATACTCGGCTTCATACGTAAATATTTGTACATACATACGTACGTACATTTTTACATTCTACATATTCTGCACTTTTGTACATACGTGCTAACAAAGAATATTGTCACACGAATATTATCCATAACGCGATAAGAAGTGAGTTCAAGATATCAGATACATGCAACCCAGTAAGGAAAGCTCCCGAACTGCATTGGTCTAGATAGTGATAAATACCCATTACTTATTCAGTATTTACATAATTATTCACATTAAATATTTATACATACGTATATTTCACCACGTATATAAAAGTGAAAAGTGTTTGTGATTTTTTTTTCTCGTACTGAAATTTTTCAAATCCATATTCCGCGGATTTAATTGGGACGCTCCGTTTTCCACGTAATAAAAAGTGCTGAACCAAAAATTAAAGCAAATATAATTTCACGTAATTTCCAAGAAACAAAAAACACAAACACCGCCACAAAATCTTAAAATTCTTTTCCTGATTTGCTGTGGCACAAAGTGCAATTTTTACTCGTTTGACATATATTTTTCTAATTTTTGCGAACGTTATCTGGGTGGTACTCAGTAAAATTTGATAAATTTTTCTCTCAATTTTTATATGTGTGACCTTCCACAGCATTAAAAATGCCACTTGGACACAGTCCACCAAAAATGTCTGAAATCGAGACAAGGTCAAAAACTGCTTCGCAAGAAGCCACCGGTGGTAAGAGGGAACCCTCACCGCGCCCGAAACCTAAAACCTTTGACCCATCCGCTCAAAAGTTTATAGCGGAAAGTGACAGTATCATGAGATACTGTGCAAGATTCAGTGATGCACCGATCCAAGACCACACTGAATCATATCTTATGATAAAAGACAAATCACTAGATGATTGTTGGGCACGGCTTCAGTCCGCCTATGATTTGGTTTTTTCAAAGCCAGATGACAGCCTACCCGAAAACTTTAAGAGTTCGGTAGAAGGCAAGTACTTCACTTGCCTTGAATTATATGAGGTGACCAAAGCTAAAATTGCCGATCAACTGTCGTTGATTAAAGCAATCGCCGCACCGAGTCCACCACCCCGCGTGGAACACACCTCGGCAGAGGCAAACGTTTTTCTTCAAGTCCCACCTTGTGACACGGAGACATTTTACGGTGGTTACGAAGAATGGCCCGCTTTTCGTGACATGTTCACAGCGGTGTACATCAACCACCCGAAGCTCTCCCGTGCTCAAAAACTGTATCACCTTCGGTACAAAACTCAAGGAAAAGCCGGTTCCATCGTCAAGCAATACCCGCTCAGCGATGATAACTTCGAGCTGGCCTGGGAAGCTTTACGGTCACGATACGAAAACAAACGTATCTTGGTTGACAACCAAATTAAAATTTTGATGACTTTGCCGACTATTCAATCCGAGAATAGCGAGCAACTTCAAAGGCTGCAAACATCAATTAACAACTGTCTGTCAGTTCTTAATTCCCAAGACGTCCAGACAGACAGTTGGGATCCCATATTGGTGTACATTTGCTCATCCAAATTGCCCGAAACCACACTGTCACTTTGGGAACAATCTCTCTCTTCTCGAAGAGATTTACCCTCATGGTCACAAATGGACGATTTTCTTACTTCAAGATACGAAGTAGTCGAAAGACTTAACCGGCTTCATCCAAGACAAAATAAACAAAAACCAGTCGCTCATCAAAATGCTGCGCAAAACAGGTCCTTTAACAGGACTCAAACCTTTGTGGCAGAATCTAAGAGGGAACCAACTTGCTCTTACTGCAAGTCCCCTCATCCCATTAGAGTCTGCCCACAATTTAAGCGAATTTCGGTACCGAACCGAGTACAATTCGCAAACCAAACCAAGCTGTGCAAAAACTGCCTTGGTAATACCCATAGCACTAATGAGTGTCCGAGCAAGTGGTCATGTACACATTGCCAACAACGACATCACTCCCTGCTGCACATGAACCCCAAACCACAATCTCGACACTCCAGTGCGCGAGCGAATGAAACCGCCGCACAACACACTACTGCCCAGTCGACACCTCCCGCTCGACAAGCGCAGTCAAGCTCCGATTCCAGCGAGCAACCGTGCTGTTCCAAACAAGCACAAATACAATCATTGCACACCGACAATGATAGCAAAATTCTCCTTCCAACTGCCATAGTCGCAGTTGAACACGAGGGTGAATTGTTTCAACTTAGAGCCCTGATTGATCAAGGCTCACAAAGAACTTTCATTTCCTCGAAAGTTCAAAAACGGTTGAAACTACCATTCGAACATTCCAAGTTCGAAATTTCCGGCATGGGTGGACATGTAGTAAAAAGCTCCTCAAAGCTTTGTCCACCTCACATTGGTAGCACCAAAAACCATGCAACGGATAAACACACAGGCTATCGTGTTACCTCAGCTCACGAGGCACATGCCTACATTCACCATTAGCCGTGAAAACTGGCAGCAATTCAAGATCCTTGAACTTGCTGACCCAAGCTGTCACATACCAGCTCAAACTGACATGGTAATCGGCAGCGATATACTTCCACAAATCCTGCTGGAAGGTATACAAAACATTTGCGACACAATACTTGCGCAAAAAACAATATTTGGCTGGATTCTCAGTGGTCCAGTAACCGAAAATGTGGTGTCATTCTCGACACAAGTAGAAGAGTGCTCGAATGCAACTCTCAGCTCTCAGCTTCGAAAGTTTTGGGAAGAGGAGGAGATTCCACAGCCTCCACAAATTTCCCCGGAAGATCAGGCTTGTGGGCATATATATGCAACAACAACGACTCGTGCCCCAAACGGTCGATACATTGTGCGACTTCCATTCAAGGAAGAATTTCCAAAAAAGCTGTCTCTGGGCCACTCTCGGTCTGCTGCACTGCAGCAGTTTTTTAGCATGGAGCGATCGCTTCAGAAAAAAGGAGACTTAGGCACAATGTATAACAATGTGTTGCAAGAATATCTCGACCTCGGTCATATGGAGCACACGAAGCCATGTGAGATAGTAGCTAATGGCAAATACTTCTCATTCTACTTGCCACACCATGCGGTCGTCAAACCAGATAAGGTAACCACCAAAGTTCGCGTGGTATTCAACGCCTCAAAAACATCTGGTTCAGGAAAATCCCTGAATGACGTGTTGCACACTGGTCCCACACTCCAGCCAGATCTCATGCTGCTCATTCTGCAGTGGCGAATGTACAGATTCGTGTTCAATGGCGACATTGAAAAAATGTATCGTCAAATACTCAACCATGAGGACGATAAAGATTTTCAGCGAATCTTATTTCGCACATCGGCTGACTCTCCTGTCACCGATTATAATCTTAAAACCGTAACGTTCGGGGTTAATTGTGCACCATACCTCGCTATCCGTACCCTGCATCAATTAGCAGATGATACGATAGCGACATTTTCCTTGGCTGCCGCAATACTTAAAACCGAAACGTATGTGGATGACATCCTATCCGGAAGTCATGATATTGACAACGCCACTGAATCACTTCTTCAAGTGATCAAAGCGCTTAAGTCAGCTGGTTTCATACTCAAGAAACTAACGGCCAATCATCCGGCCATCTTAGAAAAATTTCCAAAAGAGGATCTTCTCGACTCCAACTTTTTGAAATTTGAGAGCGCTTCCACAACCAAAACTCTTGGTATACAATGGAACGCACTCACAGATAAATTTTCATACACCATTCTGCCTGCATCGACATCGAATGCCGTCACAAAGCGACAAATTTTATCTTCTGTCGCAAAACTTTTTGACCCGGCAGGATGGCTATCGCCAGTGATGATTCAAGCTAAGATTCTTCTTCAAGAACTTTGGCTAGATGGCGTTGATTGGGACGAATGTGCCAAACCTATATCCTTGGCAAAATGGCAACAGTTCGCAGAAAATCTGCCAGCCATCTGCCACATCGAAATCCCTCGATGGGTTAATTTCACTCCGGGGCAAAATACCCAAATCCACGGGTTTTGTGATGCCTCGGAAAAAGCATATTGCGCTGCGATTTACATCCCGGCAGATGCTAGCAACCAAAGATATTCCACTCTCTTGGTTGCAAAAAGCAAAGTCGCACCATTGAAGACGGTAAGCTTGCCACGCCTGGAGCTGTGTGGTGCAGTCTTACTCGCAAAACTGGTCGCAACTTTTCGAAAACAGCTCAAATTGGAATCGTGCAACATATTCTTATGGTCAGATTCAGAGATTGGACAGGGTGCAAACCTCAGGATTTGGCGAATTCCCCACTCTGGTGGTACGGACCAACATGGCTCTCTTGCCACATGGATGCATGGCCAAGGTCAAAGGCATGCAGTGCATCTCCACCAGAAAAGCGCAAGGTGGAGGCATATCACGCGCTCGAAGAAGAGGTCGATTTTCTTGATCGCTTTTCTTCTTTCTCTCGAGCACTCCGCGTGACTGCGTACATGTTCCGCTTCGTGAGCAATGCCCGCAACAAATCAAAGGGGGTAGCCACAATCACCTATCCACATCTGACACATAACGAATTTCAATATTCAAAAATTCATCTTATCAACGCAGCGCAATCACGCCATTTTCCGAGCGAAAAAAGCGCTTTGCAAGATAAAAAGCCACTTAACAAAAAAATTCCTCTTATTGTTCTCAATATTCGTTGGACACAGACGGACTTTTACGGGTTAATGGCCGATTAGCACATTCCACATTAAGCTATAATGAAAGGCACCCAATAATTCTCCCTACCGAATCGAGGTTCTGCCAGCTATATTTGGAGTTTTTACACTCGCTGCTTCTTCACGCAGAAACACGATTAATGCTCCAAATGGTAAGGCAAGAGTACTACGTACCAAAGCTGAAACCTCTAATTAAAAAATGCATCTTTCAATGCAAAGTGTGCACGCTGTACAAGCAACAAACACGCACCCAAATAATGGCCGCTCTACCCCCTGAGCGCTGCAGTTTCTCACTCCCATTTTCCACAACGGGAGTAGATTTTGCTGGGCCATTCCACATTAAAGCATCGGTGCTAAGATCTACAACCCTTATCAAGGGATACGTTGCAGTTTTTGTCTGCTTTTCCACAAAGGCAGTGCATCTCGAGCTATGCTCGGATCTTACAACCGAGGCTTTTCGAGCAGCATTCGCCCGCTTCGTTGGCAGACGAGGTTTTCCCTCAAAAATGATGAGCGACAATGGAAAAACGTTCATTGGCGCCCAGCGCGCAACAGAACGCGACTTCGTTAAATTCCTTAACGAATGTTCCGCAGACATTGTCAAAAAATATGCCCCTCAAGGCATCAACTGGCAATATATACCACCCAGCGCCCCCCACATGGGCGGCTTGTGGGAATCTGCAGTGAAAAGCTTTAAAATCCATTTAAAGAAAACCGCTGCAACCCACAAGTTCACTTTCGAAGAATTCACGACGCTTCTGGTGCGAATTGAAGCAGTCCTCAACTCGAGGCCTCTATCCGCACTTTCTCAAGACCCAGCTGATATGACAGCACTTACTCCGGGTCACTTCCTTCGAGGTGCACCGCTGTTGGCCATTCCCGAGTCTAATGCGGAAAACCTCTCTCTACTAAACCGGTGGGAGAAAGTCAAAGCACTTCACCACCAATTTAGTCGCCGCTGGAAAGAAGATTACCTCAAAGATCTTCAGAAGAGATACAAGTGGAAAACCCCACAAAGCGATCCTCAGCAAGGCGACATCGTCGTGATCAAAGAAGATTCACTCCCCCCCACCGAGTGGCGATTGGGACGAATCGAAAACGTTCGCCATGGCCCTGATAACCACATACGTGTCGTGGAAGTCCGTACACAAAATGGAGTTATCACGCGGCCACTTGTCAAACTGTGCTTCCTTCCAAAAGCACAATAGATAATTCTATACATATTTTCCTTCTGTATATTAAGGGTCTTAACTTCCCGTTTAAACATTGTACACAAGTACTTCTCGCTTCTCTGCCTTTGCTTCTACTTCCAGATCGAAGACATCATGGCAGCACGGAAGGCGTGCCCCCTGGCTCCAACGGCAGAGACAGACAACTGCCTACAATGCCGGCTCTGCCACCGTTACCACGCATTGCGGACGTGCCCGGCCTTCAAGGCGATGAAGCCGCCGCAACGGTTGGGAGTAGCCCGCGCGCAAGGCTACTGCGTCAACTGCCTTGCGCTCACCCACACTACCGGGGAATGCGACTCGCCGGGTAGTTGCAAGACCTGTGGCTTAGCGCACCATACGCTGCTGCATGTGGCAGCTAACAGGCCCGCGCGCACAGGCCAACGAAACCAGCAGCCCAACCGGGCCAAATCGACATCATGCAAGCCCATCAAGCGGAGGGCACCGCCGAAGAAAGGTGGGCAGAAGAAGGCGCAGAAGAACCCGCGCAACCAGGCGCCGCAACCGCCGCGCAAGAAGACCGCCCACCGGACGATCGCGCGCACTCCCCAAGGCCTACAAACGGCCAATTTCCAGGGCCGCACCACCCACCGCGTCATTGGCAACACGATCCGCGCCCTGAAAGAGCTGCAGGAGACGCTCAGCAACGCATTCCTGCAGGGCGGGGACGATGTCTAAGCCGCCGCTTAAGCCGAGTTCAGCGGCCGTGCGCGCGCAC